CAGTACTGCATTCATTAGGCGTATAGCCACTGCTTCTGCTGCTGCCAGCACCCTTTGGCGTGGGCCTTTGGAGAGGTTGGTTGGTGTCCTGTAGACAGCCTGAGAAGCTTCACTAGTATCGACTCGGTGGTTTGTATCAACCAGGTGGGCGAGAATGGAGATCGAGATCGATTTAGTTTCGCCTTTTCTGAAGCAGGCCGGTACGTGTTCACGTACTCTCTTTTCCAAGCGCCTCGTTGCTCGGCCGATGTATCCCGCTCCACAGGAGCAAGTAAAGGAGTAAATACACATGGATGTGGCCTTCACCGGGAGCCTGTCTTTACCTCCCGCTTAAGCCATAACTGGGAGTAGTCAATTCGTTTTCGTTCGTAAACCTTGATTTAAAAAAACTGCGAAAGGTGCTAAGCTTCGGCTTTACTCTCATCCATTTATAGATGGTCGCCTGCCTTCGGTAATGGGACTGAGTCTCTCTTTTGTGTGCTTCCTCTTATGTAGCCATGGATTAACTTCGGCTTTCAACCGCTCGGTTTGGCAGGTATTTTGACAAATCTTGCCGTGTACTGAAGAAAAGTAACTAGATTAGGTTTTTATTTGTTTTGCATGCAATGATTGGATACAGGTCCGGACAATTTAAATGCTGTCCCTCACCTACCCTTGTGGAAAATAGGAGATGCTGGGTGAGAAATGAGTGGAGTTTCAGCTACAGCAAATGTCGGTCAATCGCTAGCTTGAACAGCCTGCGTATGTTGAAGGTCATCCAATGGGCTCTGCATCAAAGTCGCTCAAAATAAAGACATCAGACTGAGAAGCAAGTCTTGGTAGCCTCTTAACAGATGAGCAGCAGCCTCGGGATCATTTCTTGGCGGTCGATAGACGATGACAACCTCAGGATAATGTGCTTTCGGCACCATTAGAGTAAGCCAGATAACTTCGGCTTAATTCGGATAAACAATAGCAATCCGTGTGTTAAGTAAGTGAGAACTCCCCCCCTCCTGACGACCTCTCCTGTCTCTTCGAAACAAATGAAATCCTCGTATAGCCAATTCGCCTTCTTCCACTTACTTCAGAGAACCAAGTTTTGGGAAATGTCACATATGCGTATGCTCAGTCCATCTAAATTGGACATTAGCCTGTACGTTAGCGTCCATAAATGTGAGTTACCGATTTTTGGCGGGATTGTATCACGAAAACCGAGCAGTTTGCCAGTTCTTAGAGCAACCATCCGCTAAGTGACAAATAAGGTTGTGTGAGAACCCTCTTCAAATGCATTCAGTTTCATTGCAGCAAGCCGGAGGAAAAAGTACGCGATGCCCGACATTTCCGCGACCAATTTAGTGAACTGGCTAGCCTAAGGCGTTTGAAATCTGAGGCCAACGCGCTTGACAAGGGATGATCAAATATACGGAACACTCCGCTATACAGGAAAAAATTACAAGCGACTAAGTGCCTTATTAAGGGAATAGGTGTTGAAATTGCACACAGACCCAAAAGAGAAAATGCGCAGATAACTGATTATAAGCAAAGGCGGATCAAAATATTAAAAAAACTGTCTAGGATGACCTATTCTATAAAATGCCTAACTGTCCTTGTAAATAAGAAAGCCAGATTTAACGCATGCTCGGACCACGCAGGCGTGAACATAAGCTGGCTGTGCGACAAATTGAAGAGTTTAATCTTAAGCTGCTGCTCACGCCTATTAAACGGGCCAGGAGATCAACTTCACAGCCGCCAAGATAATTGCTCACGCTACGCTCTTTTAGGCGTGGGAATAGGAGATACGAAGCAGACATTTCAAAGAAAAGAAGGAGTGCACATGTAGTCCAAAATGGGCTTCAAGGAGAATCTAACGCAATGAAGACAATCATCGAAATTCCTACTTACACGAGTTGAGCAATGGAAATCAAAATCGTTTATAGGAATGAAAGAGTCAAGATTTAGAGAATGCGTGTAACCATGGTTACATGATTCGATCATTCATATATTATCCGGCCTCAGCTCAAAAGCCAAGACCTTATGTTTATCCATCCAATTCACAAGACATCTGGCATTCGGGAATTTAATGTTCAATTTAATCCAACGAGTGTGGCTGTGGTCGAAGTAATTGAGGAAAGGCATTTTGAGGGTAACAACTCCTTTGCAACGGAGCATTCCCGGGGATGATCGCCTGATTATAGCATGCGATTAGTTAGCAATGGACGAACGAGAGAGGATTTTGAAAGTTTGGGAGTACCAGTTCCCCATATATTAATATCATCGGAATTAAAAAAATTGATAATCAGGTTGCACTTGTGAAAAGAAAGCGCCGTCCAGGAATCGGAACCGGGCCGCCCACGTGGCAGGCCAGCATTCTACCACTGAACCACCGGCGTGATGACTTTCGTTTATAATGGTAACTTCCAATCTAGATGGCAGGGAAAAGCTAATGAGAGTGAACAAACAGATATAAGTATTGAGAAACCTAATTTGGGGTAGAACTTAAAGCATTTGGTGAGTTTGACAAAAGAACTATGGACAGGGTAAATGTTCCGAAATCTAATACACTGAACAAGAACGCATAAACTAATATCCGGATGGTTGGATATGATTGCAATCATATCCATGGTTAACCATGGTTAATGACGGCCAATATGCCAAGAATCGTTATTCCGGCCTCCCTTCGGCAACCTCATTCTGCATATTTTACTACAGTAGTCGCCGGTTAATAAGGTTTATTTGTAAAGCACATCTTCGGCGCCGTCAAAAACCCCGGAAGACAGGAAAAAGCTTAAAAAGCGGTGGGCGCACTAACCAGAGAGTCCTAGTTCTTGATTAGCAAACGCAGGCTAAGCACTATACAGTACGTACGTACTGTATTATGTGTAGAACTTGGTTATGTTCAAGAAAAGAATGCTGTTTGTCTGTATTTTACGTAATAAC